AGCTTTGCCTTGAGATGTGCCTTGGCAACCTTCAGCAGCTCGACTTCGCTATCGAAAGTCATCATCTGGACTCCGTTACTGGCGGTGTATTTAATCTGAGACTCTTGTTTAGAAGGGTTTGCATAGATGATACTCTCGGGAGGCACCCTGAGACTCTGCACCAACTGTATTTCAGTCTTGCTGGCAGTCAAAGCCCGTCCTGATAGCAGCAGGGTCTTTACGATGGTCCTGATGTCAGTGCATTTGACTGCATAGAAGGGGGTGGCCCGCGGAAGAGCTTTTAGCCACCTCAGGTGTTTCTTTAGAATGTCTCCCAGGTCCGAGACATAGAAGACGATCCTTATCGTCTGAAGAGAAGACTTCATTAATCTTCTGGTCCCGGATGTCCTTGGTGGTAAAACCCTCATGGAGGAAATGGCAGTCAAAGTCTTCATTACTAAGGGTGTTCATCTTCATGGTTTCTGGATGTTCCCTAATGCTACACAAAGGAAAATGAAGAGGCGGGACTTGGGAAATTACTGCCAGCTGTTCAGAGGGCTCTCCAGGAACTCCCAGTCCAAGGGGCCGGGTTCTCTCCCTGCAGCAGCGGGAATGCCTCACGGCGCCTTCTGCCTCATGCCCACCCCATGGAGCCGCCGCTGCCTCCGCCAAGCACGCAGGACCGCCAAGGACCGCCAGCCACCTCGCTTCCTCCTGCGAAGACCGCCGGGAGAGGGCCGAGTGGCTCTGGGGGGCTGAGGCGGAGGCTGAAGGGACTGACGCATTTTTATTTTTAAATTTCTGGTTAAATCACAATTACATTTTTTGGTAAAATGCTTTTAAGTATATATGTTGCCATTTGTTTAAAATGTTTAATTTATTTTAAATTGCTTTTATAAAATTTCTATTATTTTTATTTGCTTTATTGACTAATGCTAAGTAGATATTTCTGTGTAATGACTGCTCACATTAAGCACATCAGGATTGGAGGGTTCCTGGAAGAGACCCAATCACCACTGGACACAAGGAACGTCATCTGTCTCCAGGCAGGCAGTTCTGTAGCTGGTTCAGATGAAGCAAGAGCTTCAGTTTCGCTCACAAGCATCTGTTGGTTCTAAGCCATAATCTCAGTACACAGTTATCATCAAATAACCTGTTCAATTTAGCTAAAGATTCCCTTGGGCTAAGGTGAAAGCAGACTTGTACATAAAGGTAATTTTGAATATTTTTTCATTGAAAAATCATTAGGGAGCACTTTATTTCAGAGTCATTTAAAGTCACTAATTCATACACATAGGAGCTGCTGGTGACAAAGAACTGGTGGAAATGATATTCTTTTAAAATATATTTATTGATTTCAGAGAAGAAGGCAGAGGGAGAGATAGAAACATCAGTGATGAGAGCAAATCTTTAATTGTTGCTTCCTGCATGTTCCCATTGGGGATCAAGCCTGAAACCTGGACACATGCCCTGATTGGGAATCAAACCATGACCTCCTGATTCACAGGTCACTGGTCAAGCACTGAGCCATGCTGGCCGGGTTGGTGGGAATGATCCTATATAATAAAAGCCTAATATGCTAACTGTTTGGTTGTCCGTTCAACCAATCAAAGCATAATAAGCTAATGATCTGCGAAGGCCACTCAATCATTCACTATGACATGCACTGACCACCAGAGAGCAGATGCTCCGACTGGTAGGTTAGCTTGCTGCTGGGGTCTGGCCAAAAAGAACTAAACAAGATGGACCAGACATGCCCTGAAGCCCTCCCACAGCCCCTCCCTGATTGGCCAAACTCCTGTGACCCTCCCTGGCCGGGATCATGCACCGGTGGGGTCACTCAGCCTGGCCTGTGCCCTCTTGCAATCTGGGACCCCTCAGGGGATGTCTGAGAACAGGTTTCAGCCCCATCCTGCAGGAGAGGTCAAGGGACCTCACTGGTGCACGAATTCATGAAAAGCAAAATCACTATCTTTGCAAGGTCCATCTGCTCCTTAACTTGATCCTTGTGAGAGGCCATGTGACTGGACATCAGTACACAGACCTTTGCATCAGTTCTCCCAGCTTCTGTATTTGCAGCTAGAAGACTTTGAGAGATCTTTGTGTGAGAGCACGTTGTGCACGCTAGAGCTCAGCAGACCTGAGTTCAGCTTCCTTGAGAAAGCTGTGCTGTGCTTTCCATGGGGATAAAGGGAAATGAAGACGGAAAGGCTAGTAAGATTCATGTCAAATTTGGAGGCACTCCAACTCTCACACACCAAACCCATTTACAACCATTCAAAAACCAGAGAACCCTGTGCAAATTGCAAAAACAGTCACAAATACTTTGCAGTCTGTTAAGCACCCCCTGATATGAGCTGGTAGGGGACTTGCTTTGACTAACAGGAGGGAGTGGAAGCAATGCTGTGGGTTCTGTTAGGCTTAAGAGGCCCTGCACCAGGGAGCCTTCCAGCACCTTCTGAATGAGCCTCAGTCAGCCTGCGGGAGGGCAAACCCATATGAGGGAGGCCCAGCAGCCCCAGCTCAACCACTTGAGGCTGCAGACCTGTGGGGGAGCCCACCTGAGGGCACCTGAGCCCAGCCCTGAGCATGAAGACGGCCCAAGTGGGCCCAGAACACTTTACTCTTGCGGAACCAGGAGAAAGCCATTGAGTTTTGGACTAGATTGTTACATGGAAACATCCTTCTGATGCCACCCTCTTCAAAGAAATCCTATTTCCGGGTGATTTCCAGGGCTCCTGTGGCCCACAGGCATGACTGCCACAGGGAGGAGGCCCAATGCATGAGGGAGAACTTAGAGGCTGTCGCTGGGCTAGGCATGATGTTCTCATACCATTATCGTTATTGATATTATTACATAGTAGTTCTCATCTGTGAATACATGCCATGTGCCAGGCACTGTACTGTATTAAAAGTAGCTGGAAGTTAGAACTTGAAGAATTTGAAAATATACAGGTTTTAGAGATTATTATAAATGTTAATTACAATAATGTCTAAATTTTTAATATATTTTTATTGATTTCAGAGAGTAAAGTAGAGGGAGAGAGAGAGATAGAAACATCAATGATAAGAGAGAATCACTGATCTTCCTTCTGCATGTCCTACACTAGGGATCAAGCTTGCAACCTGAGCATGTGCCATGATGGGGAATTGAACCATGACCTGGTTCATAGGTCAATGCTCAACCACTGAGCCACACCGGTTGGGCATATAATTGAGCATCTTAATAAATCTTACCTGCAAGGAAGGAAGGCATTACTGAAGCTAATACTCCAATTGATAGAAACGCAGCAGTTAGCTCTGGCTGAGTAGCCGTGTCTGGATATGCCAAGGTTGGGGTTTCAGTCTCTGGTCACATACAAGAAGCAACCAATGAATGCATAAATACATGGAACAACAAATCGATGTTTCTCTCTTGCTTATCAATCAATTAAAAAATTAACATAAAGGAGTAGCAGTCATTCATGTTACCTGGGAGAGAAGTATGCTTGGCCATTTTTGTGACTGTTTGTGTTTTGGTTATTTAGGTTTGTGAGAACCAGCAGGCACACACAGAGAGGAGATTCTGATTTTATACCTTCCTTCCTGCGGGAACCATGCCAGGTTCCCAGATAGTCAAGGCCAGTGGAGCACAGAGGCCTTGTTATCAGTACACCAGAATGACCAGAGGCTGCTCTGGGCTTGTGCCTAAATGAAGTATTCAAGGACTCTGAGCCAGGGAATCCTAGTCAGGCCAAGATACCAGGAGCGGGTGCAAGGACAGATGGTACACTGTGCCCTTCTGTAGCCAGTATGAATGATGTCACAGTTGGCACAGAGCCTTCTTTGTCTAAGTCAGCGATTCTCAACCTGTGGGTAGTGACCCCTTTAGGGGGTCTAACGACCCTTTCACAGGAGCCACCAACGACATCCTGCGTACCAGATATTTACATTACGTTCCATAACAGTAGCATAATTACAGTTATGAAGTAGCAACGAAAATAATTTTATGGTTGGGAGTCACCACAACATGAGGAACCTTCAAAGCATTAGGAAGGTTGAGAGTCACTGGCCTGAATGGTATAAAAGTATATTACTGACTAACTATTTGGTTGAGTAAGCTGGAGTCAGCTGGAGTAGGCTGGAATCAGTTGAGGATGGAGTGAGAAGAAGTTTGCTAGAGAATGGAGAGAGAGAAGCTCGGATGAAGTGTGGGAACAATTCTGCTAAAGAGAGCAGTAGGGCAGGAGAGGAGACAGGAGAAGCTGCTGATCCGGAGCTCAGATACCATTACCACGTGAGGTGGTGAGTCTAGGAGGCAGCAGGTGGCTGGTCAGATAATAGCTGTGAATACTGATGCTGCTTTATGGGAAAGATATGCATTCACCAGCCGGTGTCTGGCTGCCTGCCTGTTTGGACTTTGCTGTGAGGACTGTTCTTGTCTGATGCTATATGGCCACTGGCTTCAGCAATAAAGACTCATTCTTATACACCCAAACCTCCCATGGTTTCTTTGTGTAAGACCCAGCGAAGCAGCCTAGGAGGTCCAGTCCTAGGCAGAGGGGCTCAGACCCAACACCTGTTACTAGTGAGCAGAGGATAAAGGAGGAAATTGGACTAAGTTCCCAACAGTTAATACAGCGGGCAGGGTTTGAGAAGACCCAGTCCTGGTGTGGTTGGATAGGAGACTAGAATATAATACATGGACTCACGGCCACTCAGAACAACGCAGAGCACCAGAGCTCCTGCAGGGCTCTGGCGTGGCTCTGACACCTCCCTTGATGGAGAATTCCCTCAGGTCCACTCTGAGCAGAGGCTGCATCAGAACCTCAGAACCTGGGGATTTCCCAGTTCCTGCCAGGCCTCCTGGTACACACTCTTTAACCAGCAACTGAGGTGTCATCACCGGGGGGAGCTTCTGATTGGCGAGGGCCTGACCTGCAGTGTTTGGTTTGGGTGTTTATAGATTTCTTCCTCAGCTTGGTCCTCACCATTGCTCTACAGCTCAGAGCAGCAACTGCTGACACCACCCTGAGAAGAAGATGACCCTAAACAGAGCTCTGATTTGGGGGGCCCTCGCCCTGGCCACGGTGCTGAGTCGGTGTGGAGGTGACGACATTGTGGGTGAGTGCACTGCTGAGCCAGGTGGGGACTGGCCTGGGAAACTGAATTGGAGGGTAAAAAAGAGAGGTTTGCATAGAAAGAGTGGAGCTTCTTCAAAGGCACCCTCAATATTAAGCAGATCCAAAAATGATGGTCCTTCCTCCTGTGGGGAACCAGGGTCCCATCCAGTCTGTGCTGCCTGAGCTATTGCCACTGCACCAAGGCCATTATCCTGGTTCTAATGTTGGATCCACGAATATAGCTCAGAGGCTCTACAGCATTCATGTGTGAGTGCCACAAAGATTAGGAGTGTTTTCACAAGTGGATATTCTGTTACCAAAATTCATGAACTATTGTTCCCAAATTTTTCTGAACAATTTTTGGAGTTTTTGATATATTACTATTGTAGTTTACCTTGAGGTAAAGAGTTTCATGAATTATGTGTACTATGTAGATATGAAGAAGGGTTCTTTGCTTTGTCTGAGATTTACATACATTTCCAAGCTGAGAACTGGCATTGGTGGGGAGTGGGTGAGCAGCCCAGTGAAGCCCTTCAGAGAAGCCATTTTATCACGTGGTTTCTCACTTAATCTCAGTTACCTCTTATGCATCACCCTACAGAAAATCAAGTAAAATAGGTAGTAGGTGTGCTTCCCAAGTAAGGAAGACCAATAAATGTCAGTTTAAAATTACAAATGACATTTAAAATTACTACGACTACAGGTAGAGCTGTATAATTTTTTTAATAACAAAATAGGGAATATATTTACATATATTTTAAAATTGAGAACTTTATGATGAAAACGTGGTGAATTAAATTATATTAGCCTCATATGCCTGACCTTCACGGCATCTAAGGAGGCTCTGTAAGAGGAGGATTGGGCATCCAATCATGGTTTGGTCCCCTAGGTCCCTCTACCTACCCCTGTTGCTCACCTTTCACCCTCTCTTCTTCATTCCCTGCCCCTCCTTTTCCCCCAGGGTCCATCCCTGGCTCTTTTTCTTGCTGTTTTATTGGCATGAAGAGTGGGTTCGTAAAAGCAAAGTAGGAAACCAAGCACTGTAGATCAAAGGGGAAGTGAACTGGAGGTTACCCTGATCTTCAGCGATGTTATCAACCATGGCTGCCCAGGTTTCTTGGTTTGGTGGGAAAGCTTTGTCTGCTTCTCCAGAGCTCGTCCAAGTCCCCTTTCTCAATGTCACTGCAGAGTGCCCTGGTCTGGCTGAAAGTACCCCCCACAGTGGTAATAAGTCCAAGGGCCTGCAATGCCTGTAGGGCCCCATGAAAATGCTTTCCTTTCTTTTAAAATTACAATAAAAAATGAACTTTTAGGGTAGAAGAAACTAGTTTACTTTAGCCTGGATCAGTGGTTGGCAAACTCATTAGTCAACAGAGGCAAATGTCAACAGGACAATGATTGAAATTTCTTTTGAGAGCCAAAATTTTTTATACTTAAACTATATAGGTAGGTACATTGCTATTAGCTTAATTAAGGCACTCCTAAGCTGACCTTTGCTAAAAATTCAAGGGGCCAAAAACCTACATGTGGCTTGCAAGCCGCAGTTTGCCAACCACTGGCCTGGATTATATTTGCCTTTGTAGAAATATGGTCATAAAATATAAGTTTTTAATTTTTTTATGGAAAAAATAAAGGCCCACTAACAACAGTGCTTAGGGCTCAGGAGCCATAAAGCAGCCGGTCACTGCTGAGTCTGACTTTCACAGGATGCTGCTGCTTCCATGTCAGTCAGTCTCCCCAAATCTCCGTTGTCCTGGAGAACAGCGCGGACATTTGGCACCAGGAGCTCAGTGCTGGGACGCAGATGAAGAGACGTGCTGTCTGCCCCTGGAGGCAGCTCAGATTAGCAATAGGACAACAGAGGCCAGAGCAGAGCCGCTGCTGTACAAGACAGTGGCCCAGTGAGCTGAAGCAGAGAGTGAGCAGTTCCAGCTGGTGCAGTGATGTCCCCCAGCAGCAGCGTGCAACCAGGGCATGTGCAGATGGAAAGGATAATCGCATATGTACATGTTTGTCATGGAGTCAAGAGCCTTCGTTACAAGGACAAGGAGACTTTGATGGGATGAGGAACAGATAAACTTGCAAAGAGGACATTTGTATGGTGGGGCTAGAGGTCATAATGGGGTCAAAACTATGCTTCGTGAGGGGAATTAGCTAAGAAGTTGGTAGCTAAGAATGAACTGGAGGTGTCCAGGAAATGCTGGAAGATAATTTGGGGGAGGAAAACAGACCCTTGTAAAGCCCAAGGAGCATGAAGGGGTAACATCTGGTTTGATTGGCAGGTGAGGCATTTGTGGAGGACCCAGCACAGTGCACCTATGGGCTCCCTACTCACCTGTGACTTTTCTATTCAGTAAGCTCCTCGCTGGCAGCATTATACTCACTTCTCGCGATGTCTGAAACCTTGTCGATGGTCAGGAAGTAGGAAGGGAGGGAAGAGGAAACGGTAAAAGCTTCAGACACATTGTCCAGTCAGGCTCTCCTGGGCAGTCAGCTGTGTTGGCTGCCATCTGCTTTGGCGTCACAGACAAGTCCACTGTCCATTCGAGGGAAGGACCGAGTTTTCCTTGAGTCCCCAAAAGGGTAAGTGTTGAGTCAGAAAAAGGAGAGGTTTATAACATCCTTCAAGAAAAAGAAGAGGGTTGGGAAATGACAGAAACCCAAAATCTAATGAAGTTTTCAGTTTCGTTTCAAAGGAAAACAGATGCTCTCCTCTAAGGACAATCCTGTTACAGATGCAGAGACCTTATCCCTGGCTGGTGGGCTCAGTGATTAGCGTATCAGCCTGCACACAGAAAAGTCATAGGTTTGATTTCTGGTCAAGGGTTTGATTCCTGAGTTGCAGGTTCAATCCCCAGAGCCACCTGTGAGAGGCAACCAATTGATCTGAGAGGTTTCTCTCTCTCCTCCCTCCATCCTCTCTAAAAGAAAAAAAAAAAAATCAATGGAAAAATACCCTCAGGTGAAGATTAATAAAACAACAAAAACCAAAAAAACAGAGACCTTAGAAGCATTGTTTATCTTGTATGTGTTTTGTGATATTCTCACTGCCCTTATCCTACTCTTTTTTATTCCCTAAAATAGAGGGAATTCTTTAAAATTAATATTGAGTGTGCTTTTCCTTGGTTAAAAAATAAATAAATAAAACAAAAGAAGGAATCCTTGCATAGCACATGTTCTGTTCTGAGCCAGTCCTGTGAGGAGAAGACCCACAATGCATGTATTATTAACCGATGAAGAAATTGAGAGAAAACTTATGAACAGAGGGAGGTAAACTGAATCTCTGGGAAAGAAAGCTAAGGCCATGGTCATTCATTCATTCCTTGTTCCACCCATTTCAGTATTTATCCCTGCCGAGCACTGAGTTATGCGGGCAGGGAATAGCAGTGAACAGGCCTGTGGAATGCTGTTCCTGTAACAGGAGCCAATGTGGGAGTGGAGAGGCAGCTGGATTCTAACAGGACAGCCACGGGAGGGGAGGGAGCAGGCACTGGGGACTGTCTGGAGGTGCAGCCCAAATGTTTGCACGTCCATCCATCTCTTATCACTATTTAACGAGATCCTTTCTCTCCTGTGTTTTGCACCTCCCTGCTTCCACCTCACTCATCAGCTGACCATGTTGCTTCATATGGCGCATGCTTCACCCAGTCTTATGGTTCCTCGGGCCAGTACACTTTTGAATTTGATGGAGATGAGGAGTTCTACGTGGACCAGAAGAAGAGGGAGACTGTCTGGCGGCTGCCTGGGTTAAGTGAATTTGGAAGTTTTGACCCACACGGAGGACTGAGGGAAATAGCTATTGAAGAATACAACCTGAACATCCTGATTAAACGCTCCAACTTCACCGCTGCTATCAATGGTGTGTGTCCACCATCCTGTCTCTTACCCGAATCTACCCTTCACACCAGGCCTCATCCCTTCTTGCCTCGGATAGATTCCCTTCACTCTATTAAATGCACTCTTTTCCAAGGGATCCCCAGATCTTCTCATGGTATTTATTGAACCCTCATCCTCTCCCTTCTTACAAATCACGTATTTCCATGAAATACGCATTCTTGCTCCCCTATGCAATCCTGGACTCCTTCCAGGACGGGTCCCATAGACCTCCACCCTACCAAGGGGCCCACAGAGAGAAGGGCGTGGGGATGACCTGCGGGCAGTGTACAGCGGCTCACAAGCAGAGGGAACATGAGCGCCTCCACTCTCCGATGGGGAAACGGTGGTGGGAGGGCCCTCCAGGAGGCAGGGACACTCAGGGCAGAGCTGCCCGTGATTCTAAGCCCAGTGCTGCTTCCTCACCATAGAGGTTCCTGAGGTGACGGTGTTTCCCAAGTCTCCCGTGGAGCTGGGCCAGCCCAACATCCTCATCTGTGCCGTGGACAACATCTTCCCGCCCGTGATCAACATCTCCTGGCTGAGCAACGGGCACCCCGTCACACAGGGTGTTTCTGAAACCAGCTTCCTGACCAAGAAGGATTTTTCCTTCCTCAAGATCAGTTACCTCACCTTCCTGCCTTCGGCGGACGACGTCTATGACTGCCAGGTGGAGCACTGGGGGCTGGACCAGCCACTGCTGACGCACTGGGGTGTGTATGAGCGCCAGCCTTCGGTGCCTTCTTTCTCTGTCAAGTCAGACACTGTGCCTTTTAGCCCCTAAATCTCATGGCCCAAAGCCCCTTTCCTGCACCTCAGGATTTCTAAAGGCAGACTGTATTATTCTCCCGAAACCTGGAGCCAGGTCTTTGTAGAACCAACACCACCCCTCCCACCCCCTCCTGTACACATGCTGTGAGCCATCCTTCCGCACTCTGACCCCCCACCCCACCCCACAGAGCCCGAGATCCCAGCCCCCATGTCAGAGCTGACGGAGACAATGGTCTGCGGCCTGGGGCTGGCCGTGGGCCTTGTGGGCATCGTCACGGGCACCGTCTTCATCATCCAGGGCCTGCGCCCAGCTGGTGCCTCCAGACAGCAAGGGCCCCTGTGAGTCACACGCCAGAGGAAGGTAAGGATGCCCATGTGTTGGGGCTGGGACTGGGAGACACAGGACAGGGGGAAGGAGAGTTGGAAGAGATTGTGGACACAACTGTGGCTGAAAGTCTTAGTAGAACTGGGAAACGGCATCAGGATAGCACAGGAGCCCGGAGACCTACAAATCTCGTGTCTGTCTATCACTTGCAGGTGCGTTGCCAATCTTAAGAGCAGAAGAGCGGACATGCTGGGTGACCTGGCACTATTCGCTGGCCAAGTTCATCTTAGTCCTCCTCGCATCCACTGCCCCTCCTGTCAGCTCTTCTCTGGGCGTTAAGGTGCTGTGTCCTCTCAGAGTTCATAACCCCTTGGAATTCTCCCCCTCACTCCTGACATTCTTTCTTTTCTCCTCTGTTACCTATTATGGAGATCCCTGGGATACGCCTCATTCCTTGTGTGCCTGATGTGATGTCTCCATGGAAGCAATAAATCACCTTTAGGATGTCCTTTATTGAGTTTATTGAAATTTTTCCACTCTTTCATCTCAGGGCTGAGTGGGACCATAGCCAAGAATAGCAAACTCTCATGCTTCAGCCCCCTTTCATTTTATTTTAAATATTTCATGCCCCAGTAACAAAAGCACAGCCAAATATACCCAGATAATGTTTTGCTATCTTAGATGAGGTTAAGATTTCTCTCTTCATTTGGGTCCCACCCTTGCCACTGCCTTTCCCCCCTCCCCAATTCAGGCATCAGTGAAGGTCATATATATCCTCTGCCCTTGGTTTTGTTCAGCAGGAATACAAAACCAAGAAGGAAGTCCATAGTTACTACAAATGGCTTTCAAATACTATAACAGGAAAGTTAGGTAAAGGAAATTTGAATTGCAAGAGTACCAAAAATTAAAAAAAAAAATTTTTTTCCAAAACTTTAAATTTGTGAAGTTAATGGTGATATTAGAAACTTTCTCTCTTCTCTTTATCTTTGAGGAGATAAAAATGCTCTAGACAGGATAAGAAATGGAACTCAGTCAATGGGTCATTAGAATGGGGTAATAATGCTTTGTCCTTACTTAGGGTTAGTAACCAGTGAGAAAGGGGTGGGAGTAGACCCACGGCACACGGTACAGGTGTAACTTGCCTCGCCTTCTGGAGGAGTCCTGCTGGCTAACCTGTGGATGCTCCTGTGCCATCCTGGTATGTGAGGGACACGGGGTGAATAGGCTGCAGGGTGTGACCAGGCAGGTAAGCCCAATCAGCATCACCAGATCCCTGGGTCCCTGTGCACCGGGAGCAGCAGAATAGCCTGCTACCCCCGCCCCCCCCCCTCCGCTCCTGCCTAAGGAAGGGGAGCCTGTGAGGGAGAAAGCGCCCGGATCACAGGGATTTAGATCATACAGCAGCAGAGGTGGGTGCTGGCCTGCTCTGGATTCCCTGTCTCCCAGTGGAAACCCTGACAGAGAGATGGAGCCACAAAGGGACGCTCTGGCTCTCCCTGTATGTCCAACATTTAACTCCTGAGCATGTGTGTGACCCAACTTGGAGCCATCCCCCCCTTTGCAACTGGGTTCCCTATGTTGCCTCAGTCATTCTGCCCTGCATGATTTTTTACATAGATGCCTAACCATTGTGCTATACACCTGAAACTAATATAAAGCAACAGCGACTGTCAATATATATAAAAGCCTAAGCAACCATCACATCTGAAACAACCAAACAGATGACCAAACAGGCTGCATGGGGTGACCAGGCCAGCAGGGGGCTTAGTGAGGGGCAACCAAATGACTGAACAGCAGGCTGTGTGGGGCAACCAGGCCAGTGGGGGGAGGGGGGGAGAGACAGTTGGAGGTGACCAAGCCAGCATGGGGGGCAGTTGTTGGTGGTTACCAGGCTGGCATATCTGGCAGTTAGGAGCGACCAGGCCAGCAAGGAGGGGGCAATTTGGGGTAATCTGGCAGGAGTGGGGGGCAATTATGAGTGACCAGGCCAGCAGGGGCAGGGGAGACCAGGCAGGCAGGCAGGTGAGTGATTAGGAGCCAGCCATCCAGGATTGTGAGAGGAATGTCTGATTGCCAGTTTAGGCCCAATCCCACAGGGACGACCAAACCCTGTGGGATTGGGCCTAAATTGACAGTCAAACATCCCCAAGAGGTCTTGGATTGGAGAGGGTGCAGGCTGGACTGAGGGAACCGTTCCCCAACCCTTGCACAGATTTCATACACTGGCCTCTAGTTAAAAATAAAAAATTTGCTAGTTGTAAGTATAAGTCATTTATTAAAAATAATGGGTCACATTATATGAAAGGTGCTTTTGTTTTCTGAGCACTTTAATGATGGAGGAGATTCAAATGTGAAGCTCTGGGTGGATTTTCTTTTTTTAATAATAAAGCTTTATTGTTCATATTATATCAGGTGTTCCTCTCCCCCATAGCTCCCCTCCACCTGATTTCCCACCCCACCCCATGCCCTTACCCACACCACTGTCTTCATCCATAGATGTAAGATTTTTGTCTAATCTCTTCCCTTACCCCTCAGACCCCTTCCACCTGAGAATTGTCAGTACAATCCCTTTCTATGTCCCTGGTTCTATTATGTTCACCAGTCCATTTTGTTCTTCAGATTTTTTATTCACTTGATTTTTAGATTCACTTGTTGGTAGGTATGTATTTGATGTCTTTTTGTTGTTCATAATTTTTAGCTTTACCTTTTTCTTCTTCTTCCTCTTCTTAAAGAACACCCTTCATGTAATCCTGGTTTGGTGTTCATTAAATCCTTTAACTTTTTCTTGTCTGTAAAGCTCTTTATCTGACCTTCAATTCTGAATGATAGCTTTGCTGGGTAGAATAATCTTGGTTGAGGTTCTTGCTGTTCATCACTTTGAATATTTCTGGCCTGCATAGTTTCTGTTGAGAAATCAGCTGACAGTCTTATGGGTACTCCCTTGTACATAACTAGCTGTTTTTCTCTTGCTGCTTTCAAGATTTTATCTTTATCTTTTGCCCTTGGAATTTTAATTGTAATGTGTCTTGGTATGGTCCTCTTTGGATTCCTCTTGTTTGGAGTTCTGTGCACTTGTAAGTCTATTTCTTTCACTGGGTAGGAAAAATTTTCTGCCATTATTTCTTCTAATAGGCCTTCAATATCCTGCTCGCTCTCTTCTTCTGGCTCCCCAAAAATCCAGATGTTGGTACGCTTAAAGCCATCCCAGAGGCTCCTTACGCTATCCTCACACTTTTGGATTCTTCTTTCTTTCTGCCTCTCTGGTTGGGTGTTTTTTGCTTCCTCATATTCCTGATCTTTGGTTTGACTCTTTGGGTACATTGATCTACACTTGAGTTTCTGTATATTCTTTATTTCAGTCAGTGTATGCTTAATTTCTAACTGGTCCTTTTCCTTTTTTGGGGGTGGGGGCAGTATTCTCATTAAGGTCCTTGAAGGTTTCACTAAGCTTCTTGGAGGTCTCATCAAGATTCTTAACAGTTTTAGAAGATTATTGAGTAACCTTATAAGTGTGGTTCTGAACTCTGTGTCATCTATTAGTCTACTTTCCTCCATCTCTCCCATTCGTGACATAATTTTGTGTCTCTGAATTTTGGCTGCCTCCCTGTGTTGATGGAGTGTCTTTGTGTGATCAGTGATCTATAGGGGCTGGTAGCTCAGCTTCCCCAATCACCCAAGGTGGTTGCTCTTGGTACACCCCTTCATCGAATGAGTACAAAGTCTTGGCATAATTAAGCCTTAATTGCTGTTGGTACATTGGGAGGAATTGACCTCCAGGCCAATTGGCTGTGAGAACCCACTGTGTCTATAAAAGAAGAGCTGCTGCACTGGAGACACTCTTATGGTGCAGGGCCTTATTTCAGTTGGGCTTTGGTGCTCACTGAGTCTGTTTCCCAAATGTGTCACTTATGGGTGTGAGGAGTTGAAATCTGGTATCCCACACTGACCACTAGGTACACTGGCTTCTGGCTCTCCAATGGGGTGCAGTTCAGCTACTGTCAGAGGCAACCCTGCAGGAGCCACAGTGAGAATCACAGACCTCTCTTCCCTGCTTGGAGCTTGGACGCTTCAGAGCTGTCTGCACCAGGTTTCAAGTTTGCTAAGTTATGCTGCACTAGAAAAGGAGAGATGGAGGAAAGTAGAAAAGGCCATTCATATGCAAAAGTACTGCTTGGAGCTTAGGTGTGTTTGTAGATTGTATTGGGCAGAGTCTCAGGGCAGAGTCTTAGGGCCTCACTAGACTAGCGTGTGGCAAACAGCAATGGCTTCCCTTCAGCCATCTCTGCCTCTCCATCCACGTCCCTGTCTCATGCCCCTACACAAAAACAATTATTCTTGCACAGCTCTTCAAGCAAGCTACCCTCACTTTCTGACCTGATGGCAGACAGTCTAGCTTCTCCCCAGAAACTGGGTTTCAGAAAGATCGGGATCTTGTCTCTCTTCAGGTTGAAAAAAGCAACGCCCACCTCCATATGGGATTTGCCACCAGGCCAGCTGTATCGTGCTCGTGCCCCCATACCTCAGTTTTCCAGCGCTTGTGCCCTAATTGTTCTTTTCTCATTCCATCTAGTTGTAGAACTTCCACTCAGCCAGCTTTCCAGTGGTTCTGGATGATAGATGTTTTGTCTTTTAGTTGTAGATTTGTAATTGTTGTGCCGGGCAACAGTTTAGATGTTTATCTACGCCACCATCTTGGATCTCTCCTGGATGAATTTCTTTTCATACATTAATTGAAGGATTTATTTTCCTCTCTAGAATGTCTCATTGAGATTGAAGTTGAGATTGGGTTAGGCTGAGAGAACAGATAGGGTATAGTCATCAGGAACATATTATTGGTGAAGGGTCTGCTAAGAGAACTCCTAGAACAAAAAGTTATAATACATGGCTTTAGGTTCTTACTCTCTAATAAAAGATATTTCCTTTCCAAATGGCCCATAAACTTTTAGTCAAGGAATGTTATATGCAATATATTTTTTTATATGTCTACTTTCAGGACGAAGTGGGAGAGATTGAAGAGA